GAACATAGATATTGTTTTGCTGGCTCCCCACTACTGACCAAGTTCAGTACTTCCAATGTACTTCACAGCTTTTCCATTTATGGCGTTGCAGTCTATCCTGGTGCCCTTTCCCTCTCCCCTTACTCAGAATTAGATGCCCCTTGAAAACAGAGGTTGTGAGAGTTAATAGTCTGTAGAGCTGGAAATGACTTTAGAAATTATCTTTATCCACAGATCTTCATATAATTACATGTAGACACAGAGTGCTTTACCTAAATGGCTAGATAAATAGGGCAGAGAAGAGGCCCTTTCCAGTACTCAATCCTGTTTTCCCACCTAGACCTAGAGGAATTCTAAGATCAATCTGCAACAAGATTCTTAGAGACACACAATCACTAAATTAACCAATTCTTCCTAAACATCACCTCCTAAATTGGCCCTTGGCTCTTCGTTCCTGACACCAACATGTCAATTCATGTTCTTTTCACCCCATGCCTTTCCTACTCCCATATTCTTCCTAAAGGTTTCTGCTCTCTCCTGACTCCAGTGCACCCTCTCAGGAACACCAGATAAATCCTCCTAACAACACACATTTCTCCATGGTTTTTTTGTGTCCTTGAAAAATAAAGCCCAAACCTCTCAACAGAACATTTAAGGGACTCCACAATTTGATCTTACCTACCTTTGCATAACCATGAACCCAATGACCATTCAAACTAGTCTACCTTTTACACTTCACTCCTGAGCACACCACACACAACTTCTCCTTTGTGTCTTTCTTCAAACTGTCGTCCTGGAAATGCACCTTAATTTAATGGGCATACTATCATTCCCTCAAGCCCATATACATCTTTCTCTTTCCCTATAAAGTCTTCTGTGGCTGGGCATGGTGGCTCACGCCTGGAATCTCAGCACTTTGGGAGGCCGAAGCAGGCAGATCACGAGGTCAGGAGTTTGAGACCAGCCTGACCAACATGGTGAAACCCTGTGTCTACTAAAAATACAAAAATTAGCCAGGCATGGTGGCATGTGCCTGTAATCCCAGCTACTCCGGAGGCTGAGGCAGGAGAATCGCTTGAACCCAGGGGGCAGAGGTAGCGGTGAGCCAAGATCCCGTCACTGCACTCCAGCCTGAGCGACAGAGCAAGACTCCAAAAAAAAAAAAAAAAAAAAAAAAAAAAATTGTATTTCTTGACTACCACAAGACAATACTTTCTCTCTTCACTGAATCACAAAAGTACTTCTTGGCTGTAGTATTCATTGGGTACTTTGAGTAAGTATTCTGTACCTGTATTTGATATATAATTTATGTATTTTAGCTCTTGAATTAAATTAAGCTCCTTGAAGGTAGGGATCTTATATTGCCAGTTTCCAGCAGTATTGCACAGAGCAGCGTTCAATGAGGAGCCAACTTTAGATGCAACATCATAGGATTCAAAATCTTTGAATCTTCTGTTTCCAGATTATTGGGAATATTATTCTGCATATTCCAAAAATAATATTTTCCAATGTTTAGTGGCACTTTTATTGAGACGATTTTTTTTGGGACATGATCTAAATGCAAAATGAAGTATTTGGCTTTATACAGTAAAGTTCTGTCAAGAACTTTCTTAAAATGAAAATCATTTTTCACTTCTTTCTTGTGTATTAGATGAGAATTCTGTATGTCCAATGGGTTAAAGAGTGAGATTCTTATGTGAATAACATCTCTAAAGACTGTTTAACATTAAAAATAAATTGAACCCTGTTCACCAAATGTTCTTTTGTACAATATTATTAACAATTGTAATTTATCTCTATATAATTATCGCTATAAATAATCTACTTTTCATTTGCTTAAACTCAAATTTTTACTTTGAATATTTCCTTCCCCATTGAGAATGTGCTTATAACCATTGAGAGTGTAAATCCTATTGTAATTTTGAAATGTTTGCATCAGTAATTTTTAGAAATGTGAATTAGCTATCAAGAAAAAACATGAAGTAGGATGATTTGTTACGTATTTTATAAATGAAGTACAAATTTGTGACAATTTTGAGATAAAGGTCAGTCAGATACATCTAAATGAAAGTAATCTATTTACACTGTTATAGTATATATATGTATACACACATAAATTAATATATATAAATTAATAAACTAACATGAATTAATAGAGCTAAGGAAAAGAACGGGAGACATGTATCCCTTCAATAACTATAGTAATAGTTTAGCACAATTTCAAAATAGTGAACCAAAAGCTTTCACTCCTAAAGTTTGTTGTATGAGTTAGCACATTATTATAATCAATACTTTGAGGCTTGCATAATGAGAACACAAGGTATATGTAATTACATTACTAACAGGAAAAAAACGTTTAATCATTTTTAACTCAGGGGCAGACAAATATCTACTTTTCTACTCAAAATGCATGATCAAGTAAACTGAGTTCATAAACATTTTTGAAAGGATAATAAAAAGTTTACCAGATGTATAATTTAGAACATAGAAGGGTCTTCCATTTCCAGTGCAAGTGCCAAGAAAGACAAACGGGGAAAGCTTACTGTATTATACAAAACTATGTTCTTTCCATATAATTTGTAATAATTTCTGAATTTTTCTTAAAAGTAAATAGAATAATTTACTATATATATATATATAACCTAAGTTATCTACTTTATGACTTTTTAGTAATGCTAGATTTTAAAATGTGGTTTGATTTTTCTCATCAGCAATTATTACATCTAGCATCATTATATTTATTTAATTACTTTGTTCATTCTGTTTCCCCATTCCCACCACTAGAATATACCTCATCAGGGAAGGTAACTTAAGGTGACAGCTATGTCCCTGATGCTTAAAAAAATACAAGGAGCTTACAAAGTGTCTTAAACATATCTTTAAACTCATACCTTTATGAGTTTAAAATCATAAAGGAAAATTATCAAATATCAGGCTTTAAAAACATCTTTTATTATTAAGGAGTCTCATTCCACCATCTCCTTTTATAGATGTAGAAATTAAGATGTTGAAAGATTACGTGATGTGTGAGGTCACAGAACTTTAGTACTAATGGGCACCTTAAACCTCATGTGGTCCAAATATTCAGGTGCTTAGGGCCACCCAGCCTATTGTTTAATGTCTGCAGTGATAAGGCTTTTGCTACTTTATAATAGCAAAATATTTATTCTTTTACTTTTTTCTCATATGTAATGAAGATTTCTATACCTGTACATCAATTCTTTAGTCCTAGTTAAAACCTTTGTTTATACATAGTATGTCTAGACCAGGGTATATCATGAGAATATGCGGGAGGCAAAGAGATATCGGGGGAAGAATGGAGTAGGAGGAGTTTAGGCCAGAACTTTCAGTCCTAAAGGGCCACAAATTTAGACTTCCACACTACATAAAATTATACATACATACATACACATACCCACATATACACATATATAAAATATATATACACAAATATATACATATGTATACTACATATACACATATACATATACTAAATATGTCATGTAATACACACATTACATATGTATATACTAAACAGAAGAGTATGTATTTATATGTTGTGTCTCATAGAATTATCAGTTAAATAAAAACTGTTTAAATATGCCATAATCTTTTTCTAAAATGTGTAGAGATTCAGGAGGTATATGTGCCAGTTTGTTACATGGACATATTATGTAATGGTGAAGTTTGGGCTTCTAGTGTACCTATCACCCAAATAGTGAACAGTGCATCCAGTATGTGACTTTTCAACTCTCCCTCTTTTGCAGTTTCCAGTGTCTGTTTCTCTCTGTATATCCATCTGTATCTATTATTGATCTCCAACTTATGTGTGAGCACATGTGGTATTTGATTTTCTGTTTCAGAGTTATTTCACTTAGGATAATGGACTCCAGCTCTATCCATGTTGCTGCAAAAGACATGATTTCATTCCTTTTGATGACTGCTTAGTATTCCATAGAGTACATATACCACATTTTTTAATCCAATCATATGTTGATAGACACTCAGGTTGATTCTATGACTTCACCATTGTGACTAGTCCTGTGATAAACATATGAATGCATGTATCTTTTTGATATAAAAAATTGTTTTCCTTTGGGTAGATATCCAGAAATTAGCTTTCTGGGTTGAAAAGTGATTCTATTTTTAGTTGTTTGAGTAATCTCATACTTTTTTCCAAGTATATATAAAGGCTATACTAATTTACATTCCTACCAACAGTGTAGTGTATAAGCATTACTTTTTCTCCGCTTTCTCGCCATCTGTTATTTTTTGACTTTTTAATAATAATCATTCTGACTGGTGTAAGATGGTTTCTCATTGTGGTTTTAATGACTTGGTTTTATGATGAGTGATGGGTACCGTAATCTTTTAAACTTCATGTTTTCTTCATTTATCTTCTACTATATAAGGAACAAGGAACTTCAAAAACAAAGCCATACTGTACTCATAGTATTCTCTGAATCTGTATCTAATCTCCCTTCCATATAATTGCTAATGTATTTTCAGAGAGCATTCCATGTGACTCTCCAACCAAACAAGCCTAATTCTTCAGTTGTTTCAATATCCGTCTAAATCCCACTTTCCCCTAAATATTAAACTTATTGAACGCCAACATAAAAATGTAGTTTCCAGGATTAAATACATTAATCTAGATGGGATCTTCATAGGAAAAAATAGCATGGACCTATTCCCTGATCTCGTCAAGAAAGTACATTTCTCTCAGTGCAACCTATAATTCTATTTGCTTTTTCATTGGCCATATCACATTTGACTCATATTGAAATTAATGTAAGACAATTCTTACTCATTTTCTCTGTGCTACTGCTAAGCCAAGTTTCTGTTATTTTATATTTCTGCAGTTTAATTTTTCTTTGCGGAGGGAAGTTCCTCAAATGAGTAACTGCTTTATAGTTTCTTTTTAAATACTGTTATGTTCATAGAAGGTACATAATCTGAAAGTTAAACATAAACATTTAATTTAGGGCAAAAAAATATAATTTTTGAGACATGCATCCTACCTATAAAAACCTGGCGGCGCCTGCTTCACCAGAAAGCTTTTCTCCATATCTTGGAGAATGTCATTCAGCATCCGGATGCGGTTGGATGCTCTCTCCTTGGGATCATTAGCAGGTCGCATCTCATCAGACTGAAAAAGTTCAGCATTCTCCCGCAGGCGTGATGCCATGGCTAACAGTTGATGAGTGTTGGGTTGATCACCTGGTGAAGATAAATGAGCCCATCTCAGAAGAGACATTCTCACGGGAGCAAATTAAGCATTTTCCCATCAGGACTCTAAGTTATAAACCAGACAGACCACTGAAGAAGGAAGAGGAAATTGTCGTTGACTGTTCTCTCTCTCTCTCCTTTTTTTTTTTTTTTTTTTGTCACTTGACAAAAGCAAGGGTATATGTATTTGAACCTTACCTGTCCAAGGAAAAAGATTCAGTATCAAGTAAACTTTGAGAATATATTTATTTTGCCCAAAGCATTCTGTCTAAACTTGTTTTTATATTCTACTAAATTAAGTTTATAACTGCTCATAATAATAATAATGGTAAATATGTACAGTACTGATTGTTGAAGGATTGCTATATTCCAGGCACTATGTCTTTAATATTGACCAAAACTTGCTTGTCACATTTCATAGAAGATGAGAACTAAGTAAGGTCAGAAAATTGTCATAGGTTATCAAGTAAGTAAATAACAGGACAGAATTAGAAGTTTGATCTTTCTGATTCAAAAATTTATGTTCACTAGAGAGTAAACTGTATTTCAGGGAAGAAAATAAAAATTGAATTGTGATCTTTTCTCTTGAGAACCTGAGATATGTTACTATATGTTGTCATGTGTATATTGGGTTCTTTTTTTTTTTTTTCATTAGAAATGTCCTGAAATGTGAGGTTGAAATATATCTTTGACCTAAGAATACACTAAAAACTATTTTATGTAGTGTTTGCATTGTTTTGTTTTACTTTGGAGGTTTGTGTTTGTTTTTGTTTCTTTTCCAGTTGTTAGCATAACTTACTAAAAGTCATTCTGAAAAGAATGATGGTAGCAAAGGCTCCACAGGATATACCTTTGACTAAGAGAAAGGCAACACTAGTATAGTTGTCCACTGAACTCTAGAGCCAGTCCACTTGAGTTTACATCTGCTCTACCACTTAGTATCTATGTGATATTGGTAAAGTTATTGAGCCTCAGTGTCCTCATTTATGAAACGAATATAATAATTGTACCTGCTTCATGTAGTAATGCAACAATAATGTAATAATAGTACCTGCTTCATAGATTTATTTATAGAGGATTAAATGATTAATACTTGTTCAGTATTTCCCTATGGGTAAGCACTTCTCAGCTGATGTGATTCAAGACTTTCTTTAAAAATTCTCTCACCATGTCATGAGAGGGGCATTCCCTCGCATCTTCTTCTAGGTATCTCACCATTAGAATCAGCCTTTAAGTGAGACAACAATTACTGGTATCATTCTCAGACACTAGGTACAACTGACTTCAACAAGACTGGCACATCACTACAGAGGATCACTTCAAGTCAAGGTAATGAAGGAAAGTAGAGCTGGATAACCTAAATTGGCAGTTTGAAAGGATGACATTGAGACAGACAGATGGTGTGATGAATGGAGGCCTCCTGAGGCCTTCACTAGGAGAAGTCCTGGGCAAAAGGGAAACATCACAAAAGGACTCTCTTAAGTAAAGTCCAAGGGTTACCAGTTCCCATTATACTTGGTCCTTATGAAAATGCAGATTCCCAGAACTATTGATTCTTTCTAGGAGCGGAGCCAAGAATCTTGATTTCAATATGCTACTCAGATTATTCTATACATATTTAAGAAAAATTACAGAGAGGTGATATGCTAAGAAAAGGAAAACTAGGTTATATGTATAGCTGATACATTAAATATGTTTGTCATAGAACTACCAACTTCTAATATAATGATAATTTTTTATTCTCACCTTCCTTCCTTTGATGGAGACTGTTTTACAATTCAATGTCTTTAGTGCCCAGCATGGTGTTGAAATTCAATAATTGTTTACCAAATAAGCAAAGTAGGTTCAATAAAGTATGTTTAGAAAAAAAATCTGATAACAAATAAAAGCATGTAAAGAGATAAGTAGTTTCATAAGGGCTACAAAGAGATTCACAGGTAGGATTACATGAAATGTTCTTAGAGAACATAGTCATTTTTGCTAATTTTCAATATTCCACAATCTAGTTAAAAATTGTGGTAGAAGGAGAAATAATGCTTGAGGCTAATATGTAGCTCCCTGTTCACTGAAATTAACAATAAGAATAAAATCAATTGTAGGAGTTCACAAGGTTTTGGCATTTGATGTTTCCAAAGTGCATTTCACATTCATTAATTATCTCATTTGATTTCACAACAAAATGAGGTTGCAAGAATGGGTATTTTAGGTCATCTAGAAAATCTAGCCCCTGAATAACTTACTCAATGCCATTTTATGAAAATAGTTTGTCCTAAATTTTGATGGTTCAGCAAAGTTAATGCATAGATAACTTCCAGGGAATATCTCTGCACAAGGAAAGAATAAGATGGATACAGCACATTTAGATTACGCTAGAAAGACTGAACAACAGAAAAAACAAGTTCGACATCCTTGAGAGTCTTCCATTTAAGAAAGAAAAATCTGTTCTGATCTAACGTACATTACAGAATTGAACACATTACTACTGAATCAAGTGAGACAAATTGTACCATTCTACCTTACTTAGCTTTAAATGAATTTACCTTTCATGGTAGTACAGACGTAGAGAACTGACAGCTTTAGGAACTGACTGGCTCCAGAAAGGACCCTGATAGTGGAAACTAGCCACTCACAACACACCGTATGCATTACTTCAAGGGTATGAGGTTACAAATTGAAAAGTAGCTCTATCTTCAATGTTCACTCAATCATTTTGATATATAAATGATGCTCCAAAGATTTCCAGTAGCCATTTCTCTGCCAATTAGAGCTTGCTTGTTCTTTTAAATCAGACCAGAAAGAAATGTTACCTTTCCTATTTAAGCTTTTGTGACCCCAAATGATTGGTCTTTTATGCTCCTTAGGATCCCTACTAGAATATCGGTTCTGTTAAGGAAAAGGTTTGTGTCTTTTATTCACTGCCATTTCCCTAGCACCTAAAAGTGCCAGTTGTACCATTTAATCAATGAATAATTAACTTACATACTTTTATCATAGCAGCTGCAATATTTTGATCCTTATCTGCCCTCTCTACTCTTTCTGACTGGAAAGAACCCTATATAATCAGAAAATACATTTTATTTCTCTTTGTATCCCCAGATTGTAGCACAATATCTGTTTTATGGTAGTCATTTATTAATATATTTGTTGAGTGAATGTTGAATTATGAGATGTCTTTATTTGAATGTATTATATTAAACAATGTCTACAAAATCATTCAAGGAGATGTTTGGTGCATAATAAGCATCAACAAATGCTATTTCCTTTATTTTCTTACTAAAAATCCATTATAATTGCAAAATAAAAGAAAAATATTTAAAAGAAAAGAGACTAGTGTGATGATAAGTTAAATTAAACTAAATTGAAATAAAATATGCCCTACAAAAACTCCATAAAAACTGCGATTATATAAAACTTTACTTAAGGCATGGTGAATTTCAGAGAAAAGAGGACAAACTGAGGCTCTTCACAGTTCAGGTTTAAAAAATAATAAGTACATTTGAACAAAGAAAATTAATGGAAAACTAGATATTTCTCTCAGAGAGGATTAATACAATTATTTTTAAAATTATATACATGGAGTTTACAGACCAAGGACTTGATATTCAAAAGATAGATTACAGTCTGGTTTACTTAATTGCTATCAGTGTGGTCATGAATAAATTATTTACCACTACTGTCCTTCAGGTTCCTTGGAGAAAATAATTATGTAAGTTTCTAAGTGTATAAATCACTATTTACACAAGTTTGTGTTGTTAGAGAACACAAACTAAACACAAGTTACTACAAACCCCTTTTTTTAAGGCATGGAAAAAGTACTGTAACAACTTTACTGATTTTTTTTTCTTCAGAAATGTTACTCTTTATCACTTCTTCAACCTGTGCCCCCCCAACCCAATGTATCATATTCTATTTTACTCCTTATATAGACTTTAATAAGGATTTCTAATTTTATTTTTCTGTGTTTATAAATTGAGTGCCATTTTTCCCCATGGGCTGCTATCTCAAACTTCTGAAGAACAAGGAAAGAAATAACAGAAAGGATAAAGGAATTAAACAGTGAACTTTAAAAAGTGATTCTTTTAGATCATTGCTCCTGGTAAAAAGTGAACCATTAATAAATTTTTATAGTACGGTAGAACATGCTGATTTATTGCAAATATTAAAAATCAAGCTTAATATAATACAATGTAGTTGACTGTCTACTGAAACTATCTTGATATTATTTGAGACAACTGAAATGAACTTACAAATTTCAAACAAAAACAATTTGCATTTGTTGTTTCCCCTCATCTCAAAGTAAAATACCTGTGTTCAGTAGGTATTTACTGAGTCCTATTTTGTATGTTATTCTGAAAGTATTGAGAAGGAAGGAAAGATATGTAAGATTAAATTTTTAACCTTAATAAATTCCTGATCTAGGATACAAATGTACATATACATCTAATTATACAATAAGTGTCACATGAAATAAATACACATGAGGATGACTGAAGAGCTCGTTGTGTATAAGAATGATCTGACAAGTGTCCAGGGAAGAAGTAAACCTTGAGAGATAGATCATGAAACTGCCTGAAAATCCAGGACATCTTAAATGAACTCTTGAAAATAATGGAATATTATCTACAATTAAAGCAGCTGAGGGAGAATGTTCCATTTTTAAAAAATATTAATGTCTTTCCATCCTCATCCCCTAGTCCTCACTATTCTAGAGGATGAATCTACCTCTAACCCAAATCCTCCCATTTTTCTGGCTTGTTATGGAAAGAATGGAGCTGGATATTGTAAGAAATATTAATATTAATTAAAGAGGAAGAAAGAAGGAAGGAGGGAGAGAGGGAGGCAGGGAGAGAAGAAGAGAGAGATAAATGTTAGTCAATAGATATCAAAATAGACATTGACATGTAGGCCAGTCAATTCAGGAAAGACTCTAAGATGTTCTGGGGAAAACAAATGCCTTTTACTCAGGGAATCTTTTGCCTTCTAGCCAACCA